TTCCGCGAAAACCGCACGGTTGTGGAATGCCAGCCATCGAGATGGTGAGGATGGTACCTGGCGGTCTGTCGTGTCGTCCGATGACGAAACTACCACAGACATAGATTTATGGAAGGAAGATCAAAATACTGAGTTAAACAATGCCATAAGTTTTAAACTAAGTAAATGCTTTACGTTTATGTAATTCTATTATTACCTTTAGTAGTACATCATACTTCATACTAATATTATAAATGCGAAAGTTTAGATGGATGTTTGTTAGAGTTTGTAGCCTAAACTGCTGAACCGATCTCGATGAAATTTGACACATATGTAGAGGATAGTCTGGAAGAACACATAGGCTACTTACTTTTGTTTTTTTTTATTCCACATAGACGGAGTCGCGGGCGAAAGCTAGTCATTAATATTTATTTGACAAAGCCAAGTTGATTAGTGAAGGAAATAAAGTATGGAAAGGCAATAAGATTCTCAAGTAAATCACTTATAGATGTAAAGTAATAACTTATTGTTTTACCTATTTTGAAAATAGCAACACTATTTTAGCTGTCCCCAAAAAATAAAGACAACAAGCTTTCATCACGTGCTTAACTTTTTTGCATTGGCACAAAAACAATGCGGCGTTGCGTGAAACAAAATGATTGACGTCATATCTACAAATAGATTCTCTTACGTAACTAAACCTGAACGTTTGGCAAATACTGAACTTAGTCGAGCCCCTAACGATGTCATAAAACGGAGCCTTGTGTTCCACCTAACGCGTAGCGAATGCGTAGCGATAGCTAATGGAAATACAAATGAAAGCGATTATTTCAGACCAGAATAATAATCATAGACTGAGATGGGAGAAATATCCAGAGAGAAATCAACCAAGACGCACAGAAGGATATAAAACTAAGAAAGGCTTTAGACGATTTTATTGATTTGCTTCGAACATAAATTAGAATGAACTTACTATGCCATGGTTTTCATTTTTAAACAGTTTGGATAAAGTGACCTAAGACCTGTCCCATCACTGGCTGATAGAGGCTCAGGCAGCTTAAAAATGACGTCACTGTCATATAAGAGAACATAATCCGACAATTCCATCACATAACTTACATGTTAGATTGTTATCAATTTCCAATTTGGTGAGACAGGCCCTTAGTATTTCAAAACTCCCATCTCCAAGACATTGGACATTTTTTTCTCGCATTACATTTGTTTTAAGATTATATCTTTTTATCGCTTTGCATTTAGTGTACAACAGCCGTAATCCAGTTAATCTATATTTACGCAGTATAATCCATCACACACACCAACGCATTACGTACCGTAACCAAGAGGCTGGCAAAAATGTACTCGTCTGTGGTTGTTTATTTATAAAGGGGCACACCCACGAGCTAAATAGTTCGCGGAGATCGTGAGTTTCGAAGCTTGGAAGCTTGCCAGGAATGATAGCGTCGACTCTGAACGATTGATTTGTACATCTTTGTTTGTAAAGCGTCTACTCTATAGAATTTAGCAGACATTAATGTTTAAACTCTACGCATATATTTAACGCCTTATAGTTTATTATGAAAAAGAAAAAAAAAGAAAGTTATAAAATGAAAATAATTATGTATAAGATACCAATTTTTGTGGGACAAAGGGTGTAAGGAAAAATTGGTTTGGATTTTTGAATCTTTTGTCTCTTCCATTTTATGTAATATCTCTGATCCTTTAAGATTACATGAAAATAAGACATGGGTACAAAACTAAAGACTCTTGTTATTACAACTTTACTTATAATCCAATAGCTTTTGCTAGTGACTTCGTCTTCGTGGAATTAAAAAAATAGTAAAAATGTAGCCTATGTTACTTAGTGATAACGTAGCTTTTAAATGGTGAAAGAATTTTTGAAATCGACCCAGTAGTTTTTGAGTTATTGTGACACATACAAAAATATAAAAATGCAAATCTTTCCTACATATAATATTAGTACAAGTATATAGCTATTCAAAAAGAGAAGGACGATCATCTTGCATCTCTGTTGAACAAGACTGCAGAAGAGGCGTTTGGACAGAAGCCAGGAATGATGGCGTCACGTCAATCCAGTTGGATAACACTGGCATGTGATTGACTCGCTTCGGGGTTACAATGAGATCATTTACAAAACGAGAAAATGGTATACCACGTAATGAACTAATCTACAAACTTCTTGTTATGTAGGATGTCAGCAATCATAGCACATTGTGAACTTTATAGCGCACATATTTGACTAAACTATCGCACAACAGTTGTGCGATTGTAGATTGTTTCGCAGCCAATTCAACTGTTTAGTCGCACAACTAAAAATCAAGAAGTATGTCCACCTCATAAGAATCAAAGCGAGACAGTTGTGCGATTTTTGGATTTAAAGAGTTCTTTCACCATTCGAAAGGTAATATATATGTGAGTAACATTGGCTATATCTTATTTTTATTTAAGTTTAGTAACTATTACCAAAAGACGTGCTTCTGGATCCCGGAATTAAATACTAAATTACAACTCGGCTTATGCTGCTACCGTTAGAGGTATATAAAAATGACATATGAAAGAATTGTCGATCTTAAAAAGTTCTACAGAAAAGTCCATAATGGTATGAAGTTATCTATTTTTAACGGTTTGCTTACAATAGCCACTTTTTTTAGAGAAATAAATACCTCAAGTTATTTGCGGTGTTGTATTGATTTTAAATAATAACTTACTATCTTTCGTGTCCAATAAGAAGTCCGCCGGCTGTCCCAGAGAATTGATCAGCACTGATGATCCGTTAACTATTG